GGGTTGGCGCAAATGGTTCGGGCCGAGGACTCGATGGAACGTTCATCATCCTCGAGCGTGGGCGGTACAGCCCGATGGATGGTATGTGCAACTAACTGTAGATTTGTCCCGCTAACGCAATTATAGGCGTATGAACAACTATGTCCAACAGCGCCAGAAACGGCATGCAGGCCGAATACGCAAAGTGACGTGCATTCTCTCGGGATGGTGAGCTCTTTCAGTCCGTTTTGGTATTAGATACTAAATTCTTCTAGACGCTTTATGTAGGCATACCACTTATTTAGTAAACTCGGCTAACGATCAACACAGGAGGTATTCAGTGGAAAGCTTCCGTTTGCAGAGTTTCGTAGCGAACCTCGTGTCATTCGCGCCATTATGGATGGAGCATTACCCACACGAACCTCTGATTTTTCAGAACCGCTCTGGGAGTTGTTGAACGATTGCTGGAACCGTGTTCCGCACGAGCGACCGACAGCTCGACAAGTCCGGAATCGTTTGCTGTCACTAGCGCGCGAGGGAGACAGCTAAAAGCGGCGTCTGTATTGCCCTGGGTAATTTCTTGGATAATCTTTTGGGTTGTATTCGATTCGAGACCACTGTAACATGAAGACAGAATGCTATTCGGTGCTTACAGACAGAACCCTGATCGCAGTAACCCGAGAAAGAAAACACGCGTATAAAATGGAGAATCGACATTATTCATCTTGATATTTCCGTAGGGAAGTTTCTGCTGAGTATATGGTAGATACTGTAATTGAATCTTAGAGTAACTCGAGGAGCTCACGACCCGTCCCTGAGCACATTCAGCTTTTGTTTGGGCGTCAGCTCATTTTTTCTCTGTGTGCATATCGGTAAAAAAAAAGCCCCGCTACAATTCATATAGGCAATCTCTATCAGCAGATGCGTTGGCTTCGCCACTTTGGGTGGCTCAAGGCGGGTGGCGTGGCCGGATGCAAACCGTTCTTTAAAGCCCGCCACACCTGTCTCACCGACTGCACCTCGACTACCACCAGCTCGCGAGTTGTAAACCGTCTATCGATAGAAATCATGTCTTATAACCTGGGCAACTCTTTGACGCGCTCTGGACACGCAACTGACGGTGAGGGATCGCTCCCAGCCCAATCAACCGACGACGCCGGCCGCGGGAGTTCTGCACGGGAAGACTGGGGGTACTGGTATGTGTTATTATGCGGTATATGTATGGCCATGCTCACTGCCGTTAGCCTCTTCTATCGAGTCGGATCCCCCAGCTAGCCCGCAGCCAGTTCCGCGTCTGATGGTTTCAACCCAACCAGGTATGAATGAATTCCCGCATACATTTTGTCGTCTCACATTCTTGATAGACCTGGGCACCGACGGTTCGGACGAGGTATGTTTCTAGTATACCCTTTGACGACTCTGACGCGTCTCAAAGGGGCATACCATGTTGGGCGGGGCGACAAGTATGTTTAATTTCGTGTGATTGGCTTGAGCGAACGTTTAACCTGGTTACATTCAGAGGCAAAGAATAAGTCCAGTACGTCGAAGATGCCTAGCAAGTCATGACTCTCCTTGAGTACGCGTCTCTTACTGTACAATAGATCCAATCTCGCCCACGCCCAATCCGGATGTGCCATTTGCCATATCTGAAGCCACCGCCGCCACTAGCGAGATTGAGGTCGCAGCCGAGTGTCTCACCATGCCTCTGCTGGTGCACACGATGCTCGAGTCGGCTTCTGAAACAGAGGAAGGCTCCGGTGGGTACGATGGCTGCTTCTTTAACTTTCCTAACCAGACTTCAGATGATGGAGACCCGGATTCTCCAGACGCCAGCGATTCGGGCAAGTGGCTCTCGTTTACCTGTTGACTGGTTTAACCGTTTATTATTAGCGACTTCCCGCGCGGACGATGCACTGGGACGGTTCTACGCTGCGCATCCAACCGTCCAGCCGGAAGTCGAGCACCTGATTCAAACCATGGAGGAGGCCGCGATCGAGCTTTCAGAAACTCAAAGCTTGCAGCCTTGGATCTCTTTCTTTCTGGGCCTCAAGTTGGTTGCCGAGAGGCACGGACCGGAATGCGCGGGAGGCGTGTTTGAGATCTTCATGCTGAACATTCACAACGCTCGCGCGGCTGTCCACCTGAAAGAACTCGAAGCAAAGCTCGAACTCGAAAAAGAATTGACCGCCAGGGCTGAGGAGCGTTGCAGAGCTAGTGAGGAGAAGCTTCGTTTACTTATCGAGTCTGATAGAGAGGACAAGGGGGGTCAACAGTCCAAGAACTAAGGCCAAGCTTGTTGAGACAGTTTCAAGTGTCGCGCAGTGTTTTTTGAGCCGAGTCTATTTTCGTTTGTGCTTTTCCACGTATTTCTGCACTTTTTTCGTTCGTCTGTTTTTTTCGTGTTTCTTTGTACCTGTAAATGCACTCTACGTTTCGATTCGCTTTCATCAGCGTTACATGACTCTGAGTCCAAGTGTGCAGTAACTTATTGGTCGACGACCGGAACGGCATGCCAGTTACTTGGATCGGGTAGCAGCCAAGTCATGAAAAATCCCAAATAGCTCACAAGGTGGCGATGTAAAGCGGGATACAGTGTGCCGATTGCGCCATGACGTCACCTTTGAGGATTCCACAAATCATTAGCATACATCAACCTATCATCTATACTACCTCGAATAAATAGCCTTACTTCAAAGTCATATCCTCTGGTAGAACTTTAGTTCTGGAAACCCTGCCTGAGCTCGGATCATGTGTATACTTTTTCCCACTCTACTTTTAGGGTAGTCGTTGGGAACATGCGAAGGACCGCATACAATTACTCTGTAATAAAATCGAATATGGCACATTTGTAACGCTGCTTATCTGTATCACCATTAGATGTCATTTCTATAGCCGGCTCGTGATATTTAAACCAACCTGAGGAAATCGTGCGCAGGAATCCATCGCCCTTGAACACACGACCTTACCGATGATTCATTGATCGTTAAGCAAGAATTAATTCATTCAAAAGACCTCTAGATGCGCATGTTGCCTATTCCTTTGGATTGTTGGTTCCACGCACTTTACGGTTAATAGTTTAGCAGATCTGCGCAGGTGACCGTCGATTCTGCTTGGCTACGGACAAACATTTCGTTGCTGGTGTACCTTTGACCACAAGAAGCTTCCGTTGACGCTGCCTGCCAACACGCGAGCCAATAGGCATATCGCATGTATCCCTTTGCCGATTCGTCATTAAGAAACAGCCAGGATAAAATCGGTGCACCAATCACAATTGCCCGGGCTGGCTAGCCGATCTTGGCATACCGTCTTCTGAACCTGTGAATGACTATTCCGTCGGGCCGACTTTGGGAGATTTCCGGCACAGCTATAGCACGAATACAGGTGACTGGTCTACCGCGCACAATTGGCTCCGAACATGGCCCTTGCAGAGGTATAAATGCATAGTGCTAGCTTGCTTTCTGCATCAAGTCAATATGAAGTCTGTCTTTGTTCTCGTCGCTCTCGCTGCTGCGGCTGTCCAGCCGGCTTTGGCCCACTACCGGTTCCCTATGTTTGTCGATTCTACTGGTGCTGTCAGCGCCGAGTATACTTATAACCGGCGAAATACCAACTCGAACTCGCCAGTGAGTTTGAGTGTAACGTCTGCAACTTGTTGCTGACATTGGATTCAGGTGACGGACATCAAGTCTACCGACTTTCGCTGCAACGTTGGTGGTCTTAATGGTGTCTCACAGATATCGACTGTGCCAGCTGGGTCGACTGTCGGTTTCAAGTCTGATACCAGTACGTGCTTCCTGGATGTGTTTTTTCGTTCTAACAGGCGTAGGCGTGACCCATCCCGGTCCGCTCCAGGTCTATCTCGGCAAAGTGCCGTCTGGCCAAACTGCTGCGACCTGGGACGGCAGCGGCGCCAACTGGTTCAAGATCTACGCTATCGGTGCAGACTTTAGCAGTGGCACATTGGCATGGCCCACGGACAGTATGTTGTCCGTCGTATCCCTAGTTTAATGCCAACGTGTGTTACAGACCAATCGACGTTCAAGTTCAAGATCCCGGCCAACACTCCTTCTGGACAGTACTTGCTCCGCATCGAGCATATTGCTCTTCATGCCGCTTCAACTGTCGGAGGTGCTCAGTTCTATGTGAGTGTGCTGGCCGCATATATCTTGCCAACAAACTGAGTATATGCACAGATCAGCTGCGCTCAGATCAACGTTACTGGGGGCGGGTCTGGCAACCCGGCAAAGGTCTCTATTCCTGGGGTCTATACTGGTGAGTCTTGCACAGGAGCCGGCTTGCGCTTGCTAACGTATCTACAGGTACCGAGCCCGGCCTCTTGCTCAGCATCTACTGGCCCCCCGTGACCAGCTATACTCCCCCCGGTCCTGCCGTCTGGTCCGGTTGAGGGCGCCCATATCTGGATTTAATGATGTATGCTACCTGTTAGAAATGGATAAACTTTGCTATAATAGCCCTTTTTGCCGCAAGAAACAGGATGATTGTAAGGCGGTTGCATGAAGCGAAATAGGTTATACTATGGCAATCGACCAGAGGTTTAGACACAATAGGGAAGTGAGTGGGCCGTGATTGCTAATAGCTTATAACGCATCCTTGGCGAGGTTTTTGGAGTCTTATGTGCACATTTTTAGCTTTTAAACAGCGTGTCTAGTACATATCACCATATGGGTAGCAATGTTACTGTGCTTGCGTCTAGTCACCATATATGCCGAGCTCTTGTTGTGTTGAAAGTTCACTGGACTTTGCTATACTCCAATAGTCCCGTGTCAAGAAACTGATATGTGACGGCGATTTGCTACAGACACGATCGTACCATCTAGTCTCGTTTTTTATGCTAGTCGCTTCGGTATTGAAGACGAGTGCCATGGGCCAGTAGCTTACCCACCAATTACAGGCAAAAGGTCACTCTAGTAAACGCTATCTACACGTCAGTTTATGCACGTAGAAAAGATATATGTGTGCTGTATGTCGATACATAACCTTGACACGTGGCATTTAAACAAGCCTCGATGGTCTAGTGGTATGATTCGCCCTTAGGGTTTCAGTTAAGCGCTAGTAACGCTTACGTAATCCTCGTGGGCGAGGTCCCGTGTTCGATCCACGGTTGAGGCCTTCCTTTTTGGGCCCCTTTCTGAACGGCAGAAGCTCACAAATGCCAAATCTATCGAAAAAACCACAGGCTGAGACTGGAGAAGTATGATTTTGGCATGCAGACTTTTAGGACCCATCACGTGGGTTCTAGGTTAGTTTGCTTATGTGTAAAGAACTACTGGCTCGAGAAACTAGGACCTCCAAACTTTGCGATTTACGAATAACTGAAATATAAAGATTTTTTTACATCACGTTATTCATGCGATTGAATTGGTGTAGGTAAGTCAGCTATTACATCCAACCCTCCCTAGGACTAGTTTTGAGCTCATGTTGACCATTGGCAGTCAGAATCGAATCTTAGGAACATAATTTTGAACATGCTTTACTCGTATAAAACCAGCCCAAGAGCTAACCCCGACAGAACGTACTCGGGCCATAATGCTCGTTATGCGCTCAAGTTTGCTGTTAGAGCTGCACATATACTTACTAAAATCCGTTCTTGGGACCTCGGTTCTTTGTTTATACACGTCGACTAACGTCTTTTTATCCTAATCCTTCATTAACAGCGAGTCAGTAAACGTATGGGGTCGAATAGACAAGGGCCGAACAAATTGTGAGACCAAAGCTGGCCTTGATATGTTTTATCCATTTTAACACGTAGCATACACCCTCAAATTCAACTATTAACATGGTCAACGCCCTCAACCAGACCAGACGGCGGGGCCAGGGGGTGTATAGCTGGTCACAGGTGGATAATAGATGTTGATCAAGAGACCGGGTTCGGTGCCTATGAGCAGAGTTAGCAAGTGCAAGTCATCTCCTATACACGACTTGCCGCTGTACACCCCAGGAATGGAGACCTTTGCCGGGTTGCCGGATCCGTTGCCGGTAACGTTGATCTGAGCGCAACTAATCTGTGCATATACTCAGCCAACATTGTCAACAATCCAACCACGGCTACTCACATAGAACTGTGCACCTCCAGCACTCGATGCAACATGAAGGGCGATATGCTCAACGCGGAGCAAGTACTGTCCAGGAGGAGTGTTAGCTGGAATCTTGAACTTGAACGTCGATTGGTCTATAACGGACAGTCAGCGTCAAACTAGAGATACGACGGACAACATACTGTCTGTGGGCCATGCCAATGTGCCACTGCTAAAGTCTGCACCCATAGCATAGATCTTGAACCAGTTGGCGCCGCTGCCGTCCCAAGTCGCGGCAGTTTGGCCAGACGGCACTTTGCCGAGATAGACCTGGAGCGGACCCGGGTGTCCCACGGCTGCGCAAATCAGAGTAGAACCAATACTTTTAGGAGACACATACCGGTATCAGACTTAAAGCCGACAGTCGACCCAGCAGGCACAGTCGATATCTGCGTCTTGCTACCCGAGGCAAGACCACCAACGTTGCAGCGGAAATCGTTGGACTTGATGTCTGTCACCTGAACTAGCTGTCAGTCTCAAGTTGCAGAGGTCGCGGTCAAACGCACGGGCGAGTTCGAGTTGGTGTTTGCCCGGACATAGACAAACTCGCCGGTGACCGCACCAGAAGAGTCAATGAGCATAGGGAACCGGTAGTGGGCCAAAGCCGGCTGGACGGCCGCAGCGGCGAGAGCGACGAGACCAAAGAAAGACTTCATATCGCTAGGTTGATGGAGACTGGCAAACTAGATCCACGCATTTATACCTCTTCGAGGTCCATACTCGGAGTCAATTGTGTGAGTCCAGTCAGCGACGATAGCTGTGCCGGGAATCCCCCAAAGTCGGCCCGACGAAATAGTCGTTTGCGGGTTCAAGACGAGGTGCCAAGACTCGCCGACGACGATGATTGGTAGGCTATCTGTTTGTCGTTCGCTTGATAATGATGAATCGGCTACATGCCATATGCCTTTTGAATATTAGCTCCCGTCATAGTATCAACGGAAGCTCTCGTAGTCGGAAGTATACTAGCGACCTTGTGACCGACGCGATCAATGAGGTCACCTGCGCAGATCTGTTAAACCATCAACCTTGGAGTCCGAGGTATAACTCCCGACGATAAGGGGTTTTCTAGCTGTGAGAGGCTGACGGAGTGTTACAAGACGAGCCGAACCATGATCGGCTAAACACATATAAAGATTCATTTTTACTTTGTTGTGGCTGTGTCGTTGATGACGTATCTTGGCCTTGACCTCATTCTTACCAGGATGTTACCTCGGTGTCGGTGCCATTCTTTTCGTCGCTGGGTCAAGAGCGCCATTTAGCTTTGAGCTCTGGGGTTGTAAATTTGTCGGACTCGCCTATCAGCGTATTCTCCACCATATAGTCACGGATTAGCTTCGCAGTTTCTGGTATGAACGTAGATCTAGATATCTCGCGGACCTGCCTCGTCGGCAAAATCGAATGCATTATAATATACATAGAAAAACAAAGCCGATCCTTAGAATACAACATAAAGCCAAATACCTAAACCAAGCTGATCCGAGATGCATAAGCAGGAGGCAGCCCGTCTTGGTTTATTGCCCCTGCAATCGTCGTATAAAGTGGTGGGACATCGCCAGGCACTGTTGGAGAGCGACTAGACCAAAGCAGGTTCTGTAGCGCCGCTTCGTCCATCCAACCCTCGGGGGTGCCACGAGTTTTGCGTTGGGTTGGAAGCTGGGCGCAAATCAAGAGTGCGCTTAACACTACATGATCTAGCTCTGTTAGACCATCCGCTCCAAGAGTCTGCCTCAACAGGTGCTGATCCGTGATGTGAATGTAATATCGAGGTTTGCCTGGAACTTCACACCATTCCAGGTCTGCGAGACGAGTAGCGGCGTCGCGCGACCTTGATCTTTGGTCGTGCCACTGGGATGATTCTTGACGACCAGATTCACTCGAAGGCGGTTTGTAGCATGTAGTGTAGGCGCCTGCCGAGTACAAATAGTCGTGTCTAGCTTCTTCTACCCACGTACACGTAAAGGCTCCGCATGTGTACCTTCGGCTGTGAATCAAAGTTTAACGAGACACGAAAAACAAGGATAGGCGACTCACGGTGGTGCTTTGATAGAGAGCAATTGTGCAAATAATTTCTCGGTTGGGAAGATCTCGCCTACCGTCCTAGTATTTTCGCCTACAGTAATTGTGGTGTTTTTACGATGGAGGCCTCCCTGGCCCCAGGAGACCACCGCCACCTAAGCGGAATGAGACCAAGTACTTGTGGACACGCGTCAACTCACCTTTTGAAGTGTCATGGCCGTATCCGTTGCATACAACACTGTCTCCTCGCCTTGCGTGATAGTCGCATACACAGGGACTCGGGTAGACTTGCTGATGATCAGAGTATTGAGAAAATTTCCTTTGGTCAACACGAGCGAGGTGCGAGTGTCTGAATCTGATCGAGTGGGACGACGACGGACAGGTGCGCGGCTTGACATGGCTATATGCAGTCGTGGAGTGACTTGGCAGGTCTTATATCTGTCCTGCACGAGAAAAGAAGCGTAGATGTTCGCGAAGGGCTGAGGCGGAGCGCTCCGGTAGAGCTATGCATCGAGAGGCTTCGCAACACAACTGTTCTTATAAGTGGGAAGTTCCTATGCTTGGACATTCCTGACTAGGAATGCTGTCCACGCTAATCGATCGGCACGTGGTAAGAACCTCGGCTTCAGGCAAACGAAAGATGGCAAGTGAAGGATAAACTTATGGCGTGGGTCATTATTAAAACGCTAGGAAGCCGTGCTTCCGGTCAAACCGGGCGGTAACAGTAGATTTACACACGCATACATTTAGGAATGCTTTGCTTCGAGGTCTGAGAGGAAGGCCAGCCAGAGAGTCTTGTCGATCACACCCTCATCTGTGAACAAAGGACTTTAGACCTAGCCTGTGCTGTGCTAAAATTGACTTACACATCCCATCCATATTAGTGACAACGACGTAACGAGCACCCAATTTTGTGAACAATTGATGCACGAGCTCGAGTGGTGCGTGTGTTTGGACAGTAAGTGGCTAAATATCCTATCATCAGCCTGCGTCACTCGATCATCCTCAAAGTCGTACCGCTTGGTCCATGTAGATCGTCAAGTCAAATGGATCGTGCTGGCCAGGCGTGTCGTACAGGGAAGAAATGGAAGAAGCCCCAAAGTCTGGCTGCGGAGGGGCAGCGGCGTGGAAGTGGCACACTCCGTCCGGGTCGTCGGCCAGTATCGCTGGAATCAGAGGTCAGATAGGCGCGAATATTCCCCATTGGCTATCACTTACTTAGTGCGTGTTCCAGCTCACTCACGCCAATATATCCCACCATCCTATATCCGGTACCTTCTTTCTGGAGAATAGGCAAGCCGCTGTCCCCGTTTCCCTCTCGTACTGCCACGAGAAGTTTATCACGAAGAGAGCGCACGGTGTTCTCTTCGTCGGCGATAATAGTCTCGACCTTTCGATCGGTTACATCAGAGACCTGTAGTGCACCCCACAAATACTCGTGCTTGTAGTCCAAGTACGGCAACTCAGATAGCCTAGGGAAGTTAAATGCCCGCGCGGATAGAGGTTTTAGGTTAAAGCACAAAACGCGAAATGAAAACACATACTCGATCACCAAGTCGTAGATTCCCTTGGGCTCCAGCCCATCTGCGACCGTCTTTGCGACCAACACAGCCAGCATGACCGGAATCACATATGTCAACGTTCCGGTCAACTCGAACATGATAACGGCTAGCGAGACCGTTGTGCGCTATCAACCCCGGCGTTTCGTCAAACCGGGCCCGAAGATGCGAAGGGCCATGAGAAAAGGCAAGCATCCCGATAAACATGGAAGACGAACGCAAGCGCAACGTATGCACGCGTCGAGCGACAACCGTGACAGCCGAATCAAGAATCAAAGACAATGTCAATTCTGGGGCACGCGATCACGACTCGGGTAAACTCACGGTTACTCCGGATAGTGTTGCTGCAGCACCGACCATAGCATACGCCCCAGGATTCACGCACCATGGGTCACCTTTGCACACCTCGAATATCCCGAGGTCGGGGTGGGTCCAATATAGTCGCTGCATGCCGAGCCCA